AAAAAGTGGTCCAGTTTAAAGCCCTAAGAAAAATGGATTGGATTACTTCTCAAACTCTCCTCCAACTATGGAAGGCTGTAATTAAAGAATTTCAACTAAAATATGCTTAAACTATTAGTCAGTCATATTTATAATGTGCCTTCCCTGATATTCCATGCTCCTCTGTCACTTCTCTGTACCTGTTAACTCTACTAATCAAAGCAGCTGCACTCATTCCACTATATTATGTATATTATGTATATATATATATATTTTTTCGGGTGTCGGAAAAGTCATGACACATTTTTCCAACAGAAAACATAGAAAAAATACGTCATGACTTTTCTGACAACCCAATATTGTGAAATATAAATGTCTTAAGAGTAGGCTCTACCAAACCACTTGAGAGAACAGTAGTTTTCAGCAAACATTTGTTAAATTAAAATATTTACAAGCACTTCTTATGTGCCATGCACTCTTTTAAATGCTTTACACGTATTAACTAATTTAATTGTCACAATAAGTTTATATGAAAGGTCCTATTATCTTTATTTTTTGGATAAGGAAACTGAAGCAAAAAGAAATCAAATAATTTGCTCAAGAGTGTTCAGTGCTAAAATATGAAACCCAGATTCTGTGCTATTAATCATTAGCTCCACTTTTAGTTTGAGGCTTCAAAACAAGATATGGAAAACATTCCCCTTGATTATCCTAACTTGCAATATGAAACTACAAGGTACAAACGGCTTGATATCATCTAACTCAGCAGTTTTCAAAGTGTGGTCCCCTGATCCACAGACCCCTTCAGAGGGGTCCACTAGCCTCCTGGGGATCAAAACCATTTTTATAATATTAAGATGTTATTTGGCTTTTCTCCACTCTCATTTTCTCATGAATGTACAAGGGAGTTTCCCAGAGCCTCCATCATGTGTGATATTAGAAAAGACACTGAATGTATTATAGAAGCAGCTATGAGAATCCAGATATCCTCTAATAAGTCTGACATTAAACAGATTTGCAAATATGTAAAACAATGCCCCTCTCTCACTAAATTTTTGTTTGGAAAATAGTTTTTACTTTTTTCATTAAAAATTATTATGTTAACATGTAATAGGCTTAATACTATAATTTTTATAAGTGAATCAAATATTTTAAAATTTTCTGTTCACTTTCAATACAGTAAATATTGATATAAACCACATAAACAGAGCTCTTTATAGAGGCCTCAACAATTTGTAAGAGCATAAATGAATCTTGAAAAGAAAAAGTTTAAGATCACTGATCTACCAACCTAAACTATTCCGTACTCCTGGTCTCTGAGATTAAGATGCTTTCTCCCTACCTAGTATGTAAAAGAATTTATGTAAAAAGGGTAACATACAGTGAAAAAATAGTAGTATTAGGCCAGAGGTATGTGTTTCTCCCTTAGATTACATTTTCTAATTTTTAACCCATAACATTTGTTTGTAGTATATCTTCTATTGTAAACAATAATGACATTCCTAAAAGTGCCTCTGCATTTCAAAACAATACAGGCAGTAAAAAAAAAAAAAAGATTCCTTGAAGAAACTTCAGATTTAAGTTGTCTATTTCAACATTCCTTTATTAAACCATGTACACTACTGAAATATAAAGAAACCATAGGAGTTTACAGGAAGATTACCAGTACTGATGTCATTAACTCAATGAGGCTTCATGTACTGAAACTCATCTTCATTACAGAGCAGAGTCTTAAATTTTTGATAAACTAAATAAAACAATCTACCTAACTTCAAATCAGTTCTATGAACATGTCTTTAAATAGCATTTGACATAGTTTGAGATACTATTCTAATAGCAAATAATTTAACAATAGTTTTAACAAAACAAAACTAATTTTGCTCAACTCAAAAAAAAGAAAACCAGTGCAAAATCCTGGTCTTTTTTTTTTTTTAAGTGAAATGGTGAGGGCTATAAATTACTAGGGTCTCTGCCCCCCCCCGCGTATCTGCAGTGTCCCTACATACAATCCAATAACGTTAAGTATAAAATGTTAGTGTTAAACTATTAATTGCATGAGGAAAAAATGCAGATTCACCATAACAAAGATATAGGCTACTACCTTTGGTTCCTCTTAGATTCAACCATCATTCATTTACCAAATATTTCTGAATACATACTATAATCCTGGCACTATGCTAGGCACTGGGAATGAAATGAACAACAACAAAAAATAACAGTTTTTAATCTTCATGGGACTTGCATTCTGCTGTGGGAAACAGACAAAAACAAATACATAAAAAATAAGAATTATAAATGTGGTAAATACTATTAAGGAGACAAACAAGGCTTTGCCACAGATTAGTCTTTGAAAGCTGAATTGTGTAATCCTAAAACCTAAAAATAAATAATTCATTAAGAGTTACATCAAGATTACATGGATTCTTACAGACCTTTGCTAATGCACAAGAAAATTACACACTGCCCATGAAAACAGAAATCAATCTTTCATTGTCAAAGCTATTGGATGGCATTACTTAGCAATACAGTAACCTCAAATACAGTAGCCTCACAGGTCCACAGAATTAAAAAGCATGTAAACAATCCTAAAAAAATTCTAAGAGAAGCCTAATGAGACATGACAATTAAAAGTAATGTGGTACCCTAAAACGAATGCTGAAAAGAAAAAGATTAAAAACTAAGGAATTCTGAAAATAATATTGAATGTCAACTCTAATTGAAAAATTTAAACAGGAGGGAAAGATCAATAATATTGTGATAGCGTGATACAGTGTCAGAGGGTTGCTGAACATATGGTGATCACTTCTTCAGCATAGGGAATAAAATCAATAATGTGGTAATAACACTGTATAGAGCTAGGTGGGTACTGCTGAATAACTATGATGTACACCTGAAACTAATATAATATTGTATGTTAGCTGTACTTTAATAAAAAAAAATCTTTAAAAAATAAAGAAAAGAAAAAAACAAACTAAGGAAATCTGAATAAACTATGGACTTTCGTTAATAATAATGTATCAGTATTGGTTAATTGTAACAAATGTACCACACTAAAATGTAAGATGTTAATAACAGGAAAAACTGGGTGGGGCTATATGGGAACCCTCTGCAAGATCTTCTCAATTTTTCTATAAATCTAAAACTATTCTAAAAAATAGTCTATTTAAAAAAAAAATCTAAGGTGGCTTCAGGAATTGGGGAGGAAAGGAGTTATGACAGACTTTTAAAAAGTAAGAAATGAGAAGCCATAACACTCTGCAATGTGAATTAGAACATAAATAAGAAATTCAAAGGAAACTGACCGATACTAGTTATTATATCTATTCATACTAAAATCTTCCTAAGACAGATATTAATGGATTTTTCATGCAAACTAAACAGCTCTGCATCATAACATAAGGCAGGCAAAAACATCCCTAGAGTACACAATAAGCACTTTAGATCCTATTTATCAATAATGACCAATAGGCTATGTTTTATGTATAGGACTGTACTGAAATTACCATAAAATACCTGGACCAGGATCAACCTCATAGGTTAATCAAGTTACTTAAAGAAACAAGCTTATACCTACTTCAGGGGAATTCAAAAGCAAAGGGAAGACAACATTTTTCCTTGGTAAGGTGGAAGGAGGAAAGATTATGTATGAAAAGAGAAAAATGATTTCTCAGGTTCAACTAGAAGCAATTTTACAACTAGTATTAACCTACTTTAATGCCATACAAAATCATATAAATATTTCAAGGTAGTAACAAAAGCTCTGAATTTATATCAGTTATCTTCTTTCCAATCAGAAGATAACGCATGTTTTCTATAACCTAACCTAAGACACCAAGTGGGTAACAATGTTTGATGACTTGGAAGAAACTAATCTCTCAATGTGTGAATTTTAAAGATGGTCATGAAAAGTATGAGAGGAAAAAAAGAGATAATCTCTAAATTGCCAAGTGTCAAGTTTGCATAATACAGCATAAAAATTAAATTACAAGAAGTAATTTTGGAGACAGCCATCACAAAACTAGGATCTTGTATGGAATACAAACTACAGCGACAACAGAAGCCTGACCAAGTAAATGAGAATTTCACTCATCAAATACCATGGAATATTAAGCATAAAGGAGTAATTTAGCATAAGTAGTATTACATATTTAAATCTAATTTTAAAAACTAGATGATGAATCTATTCTTACTCTACTCCAATACTCCCTAACTCCAAAGGAAATCCTCCAAACAAAGATACTCATTATTCTCAAGCCTTCTTTCACAGGAATCCTAAATATAAAATTGGAAATTACTCAAAGATAAATGGAATAATTAACATTTCCCCAGTAAGTCCTGTTTGCACCACCATAAGGAGAATAAGACACTGTTTACGTTGAAACGAGAAAAAGGAGAGGTGAGATGTGAACAATTCCAAGTAAAACGATCATGACATAGCATCTGGCAGAGATCAGAAAAGCATCAACACTGCCAAAAGAATTATCAAAGATGCAAGACAAGAGAAGAAAACGAGGTTTTCCAACAAGCCACAGCCTAACCTAAGGGGTAAAAATCGCCACTGCCATCGCCAACCCTCCCACTCCTCAACCACTCCATCCTCAAGTCGCTTCCAGTTCAGATATATATCTTCTATAACCCAGACTAATTCCCCACCCAAGGGAAAGCCATCCAGGAATTTTCTATGACCCCCACTTCCATGAAATCCGCACTTCTCAGGGCCAAGCCTCCGGGGAAAACAACGCCCAGATCCTACCCTCCATGCCCAAGGTTGAAGAGGGCCGGTTCCCAGGAGTGGCGCTTCCCGGGGTGGGCCTCACGGAGCTGAAGAACTGGAATAAGAGCAAGGAATAAGGGTGGGGCTCAAGAAAGGGGGCTGGGGTGGGTGAGACCAGAGGAAGAAAGGGATGGACAGGGGGCTGGGCGGGGTGGGGAGTAAGGAGAGCAGACCGACAGAAGAGGGCCGGGCTGCGGGGAAAGGAGACGCCGGAGTCGGGGACGAAAGGGTCAAAATCCGACCGACGGATCATGGGGAAGAGGAACCGGTGGCTAAGAGGGGTCGGCGAAGCCCGGGAAGAGCTGGGGGGTGGAACGAACTGCTAAGGCGAGGCCGGCAGGGAGCCTCCACGGACTGAAGGGCCGCACTGGGGGCGGTGCGGGGAAGCCGCGACCAGCTGCCAGGAGTGGGGTAGCCGCTCACTCACCGCTCTGCTCCCCCAGGAACACCAGCTTGAATTTCCTCAGCGGATTCCCGAAGTCTCCGCCCGCGGACATGATGGAACCGGAGGAGCTACCGCCGCCTCAGCCCAGAGACCTCCCGGACCGACGCTGCTCCAACCGGTTGGTGAAAAGGGTGAAAGGAAGGGCGGGCGCCGAGCTCTCTTGGCCCCTGCAGGGCCCGACGGCGGTGCAAGGCTAGGGGGCAGGACTGCTCTCCACAGACAGGCAGCCGTCGCCGCCGCCTCCCCGCGGAGTCGCCTGGCACTGAGCGAGGCCCGCGACTGGGAAGGGAAGGAGGGCGGTGTCAGAAGCAGCCAGGGGTGTGCTCAGGGTTCCCAAGGCTAGCGATGTTCTGTCCTAAGCACCTGGCACGGAGAGTGAGGTAAGAGGCAGAGGGTGGCGGAGCCGGAGCCGCAGACGTCTGGAACCTCTGACACGCAGCGCCTCAGCTCGCACAGCTGCCGCCGCCGCAGCCCAACCTGCTGAGTGCGCGAGCCTCTGGCGCGGCGCTGGGCGAGCCTGGGCGCGAGCCTGCCGCCCTGCCGGCCGCCGGCGTGCGTGCGTGCGTGCGCGTGCGCGCCACAGCCAGCGTCTTCCTGGTTTAGCCTGCCCTCCGGCTCCTCCCGCGCCGCGGAGACTACGGCAGGTTTGGCTTGGACTCGCGTCAGGGTAAGCAAGGAGGCGGGTCGGAGCTTGGGGGAAGTGAGGAGGTGGGATAAGGAGGGGGGTGGAATACGTCACTTATGTGATGAGCCAATCGGGAGAGACCGAAGGCGGGCAGGGACGGGAGTGAGGTGGCGGCGCGAGAGCGCGCGCGGCTGTCGCGCGGTGGAAAGCGGTGGAGGCCATGCGAAGTGTGGCGCGACGCAGCCTGTGGGGAGGGGACGGGAGGTGGGGCGGAGGCGGGGCCGGAATGGAGGCGAAATTAAACCCAGCAATGTACAGGTGTGGTTAGAGACTCACTAGGTTCCTCTATCCTGAGCCCTCAGCCGTGCCTTACGTTCCTCAGATACGCCCTTCACCCGTGCACCTACCCACTTTCTCCATCTTCTTTCCTATCATAAATCTTCACACGATATCTTACTAGGTACATGCTCTGCTGTTACTCCCAGGAGTTTCATAACTACAAGAAGCAGGGCCTCCATATTTTTGTAGATGAGGAAACAGGCTCAAAGGAAGGAAATAACTTAGAACATATACAAAAACATAAAGTGGAACCCAGGTTTTGTGTTTTCCCCCACTGAACCTTTGCAACCTCCGTATTGATATGCCCATCACTTCACTGGCTTCACCTGGCTTGGTCTTCTATACCAACCTTTGTTCCTCAGATATTGACAACTCTAGGTGCCACCTGCTATGCTAGAAAATGATTTAGACATGTAAAACTCCTCATTTCACAGGTGGTGAAACTAAAGCCCACCTAGGAGAACAGCTAGCTCTGCAAAAAGGTCACACAACAAATTAGAGGTAGACCCTGTCCTTGAGACCAAATGTGGGGAAGGGGATATTTTAAAGATCACCCGTTCCTCCTAAAGCAGGGCTTCTGAATCTACCGTGGGTGGACCTCCCTTAAATTAGATATGTGAAGCATGTGCATTTTCCTGTGGAGAGAATCATAGCATTCAGCAGATTTTCAACCTAGTTCATGACCCAAAAAATGCAGGTTAGTATCACAACCAAGAGAAGCCTAAGGAGACACAACAACTACGTGTAATGTGGATATAACTAGCATGACAACTGAACATAAGTTTTAAACTGAATGGGATCCTGGAACAGAAAAAAACATTAGACAAAAGCTAAGGAAATCCGAATAAAGATGGACATTAATGACAATGTATCAATATTGGTTCTTTAATTGTAAGAAATACACTAATTGTAAGATATTAGTAATAGAGGAAACAGTGGGGGAGAGGTGTATGGGGACTTTCTGTACTGTCTGCTCAATTTTACAGTAAATACAAAACTTTTAAAAAAGCCTATTAATAAAAGATGAATAAGTAAAAGGTTAAGAATCACCAAATTAGAGAAATTGGCATCTACACCTCACCATACTTCAGCCACACTTGACCATTGTATAGGACAGCATCCAAAGAAGTAATCTCTGCACTTTTAAAAACCGGTATCGAAAATACTTCCCAAGCTAATAATAAAAAAAATAAGTCCTTACATTTGTGTATAGTGTCTTACTATTCACAAAACACATTTACAAACATTTCCTCATTATTTGGGGACTATTATTTACTTAGCTATACAAATGGCAGGATCAAACAAGTGCCTTCTCAAACTAGGGATGAATTGCTGAATTAGAATAAATTAAGGGGAGGAACAGAGATTCATAAAATATTCTAGTCTATCAGGACAACAGTTATATCCCCAAATCTCCTCCTCTATCAAAATTTACTAACTTCTGGTTCCTCTCAGCTAAGTGGCAGAAGGATTTTGGAACATGCATCTAAAATGAAATGATAAAAACCTGAGTTGTGATGTGGTCATTTGATTTTTTTAAAAAATATTTTATTTTAAAAGTAGCTTGTCAGGTCTGGGAAGGCTTTCCCTACCAGTAACTCAGAACCCTGGCACACACAGAGAACACCCAATACCAAGAGACTATTTAAAAAGAAAACTTCTTGCAAACAAGAGTGGCTATTTTTTCTTTCTGATGGATACCAGCTTTTCATTATGTTTCCTGAAATAGCCTTTAAAGTAACATCTGAGAATTGGAACCATAATTACTTTGTACTTCCTCCAGAACTTTTATGAATCAATTCCTCCCTGCTGCTCTGTTCCCTATAGCCCTGTAGTCACCTAAACAGGTGATATTATTTCAATAATTTTTAAGAAAAGTGGGTGTAATCCACCTCTTACCTCAGATGTTTTTAATGTTTTAAGCTAGCATTCTGCATTGACACATAGACAGCCTCATTGTTTTCTGAAGCTGCATTCATATTTATCTGTGTAAATCATGTTTTGCCTTCAGAGCAAACCATATGGTCTAGAAGTTGCATATTAAGTGCTATAGGGTTCATCAAATGAAGAAATTACTCGGAAAAATAAAATTAAAGAGGCTTTTTTGAAGGGCACTTTCATCAATACTTTCACCTCCATAGTTTTCTACACACTATTCTCTTTACCTTGAACACTTTCACCTCCCTCTCCCTCTCTCCCCCCAACTCCTATTCATCCTTCAGATATCAAATCTTAAAAGTCTTGAAGACTTCTCTGTCTGCTCCCACCCCCATCAGCAGTATAAGTACCCCTGCCTGTCCTCCCATTTACCCTATACTTCCCCATTACTTAATTGTTATTGTGTCTTCCCCACCTGACTAAGCTCCGTGAGGTCCTGTATCCCCAACACTTGTAGAGTGCTTCCTACATAGTAAGCATGCAACAGATATTTGCTGAATAAATGATAGAGATTACTTTAGCTTTCTTCAAAGGTTGAATGGAATTCGGGCAGGTGAAGATGGAAGGGCAAGAGCGTTTTGGAGAAAGAGAACATCACTTAAAATCAATGAGAGAGGACAGCTTTTGGCAACTCCAAATCAAAAGTACCTAGAGCAGTTTTCTTTGATAAATTTAAAAGGGATCGTTAATTTGAAGCCCGTGAATGTGTCCAGGAAGCAACCACGCAGAAACTGTAATATAATTACAGCTTGTCTTTCTGCCTCTAGAGACGAAAAGCTTCTTGAAGGAGGACTGAGATGTCATTGTATTCCTGCGGCAGGAATACAACTACTGGTTGTCCAGCAACACACACACACACTTCCACATTATATATTGGTAATGACAGATACTTTTCCAGGTTCCCTTCAGCTAAGTTGTAGGCACGTAACTTGATCTGAGCCAGTGGCAGATGAAGGAAATATCCCAGAGACTTATGAGATAAATTTTCTTCCCTGATGAAAAGAAATAGATGAGGAGAAAGTGCCATTTTTCTGCCATTGGATATGGTTATATAAGGACAAGATATCTAGAACTAAGACATCTTGTGAACATTAATATATAATCCTGAAGAAAAAAGCCAACCCATTGACAATGGCTAAGCAGAAAGCAAAAAGGCATCACAGAGCCACTGTACCACCCCTGGAACCGGCCTTCCTCTGGTTCTTTTTAGCAAAATAATAAGTGTCTTTATGTTTAATAACGTTTTCATAATATGTCTTTGTTACTGATACTTGCAGCTGAAAGCATCTGATATTCTCATCTTTTGATCCCTTCAAACACCTTACACAGTTCTTTGAACATTAGGCACTCAATACTGTGTGTGTGTGTGTTATATTAATATATGTTATGCATATAATAATACACATTATATACATAATACAGTAATTGTTATCAAACTGGAACTGCATTTTTCTGTTTACTACTCCCTAAAAAGGATTTATTATTCTTGGAGAGGCAGGAAATCAATAGAAGGAGAAAAACTGTCCAGGGACTGAAAAGGACTGAAATCATATTGCCCACATTTGAAACAAATAATAGCTCTGGCAGGAATTCAAATCCTACCCAATGTGAAACCCTTCTACCCACTCTGCAGGTTATTATAAGCATTGATACTAAAAATAATAGTGAGTCAATATACAAAGCATAAAAATGACAAATGCTCAATAATTCAAGGTGACCAATTAAATGAGCACAACTAACACAAGGTATGTTTAAGCAAGTCTCATTTAAAAAGGACTATAAGGGAAAAGAGAGGGGGGAGGCCTCATGGCAAAACCCGTTTTTCAAATACCTTGACTTATAAGGATGTGTGATGGGAAAAGTATAAAGTTAATTCAGTCAAGGAGGAGGAGGAGAAGGCAGTAGAACTTCAATGGAATGGTCATTCCTGTGATTACAGACAATTTATAAGTTAAGTCAGAAGATATTTTTGCTACAGATTGATCTAGAGAATCTATTTTTGATAATTCCATTTTGTTCCGTTCATGTGAATCATGGTCCTTGTTATGAATAATGTGATTTCTCAGAGCCTTAGATGTGGGGTGTTACTTCCAGGCTTTAAAATTGCAGTGGGGGAAGAGTTTGCTTCTTTTTATACTAGTCCAGAATGTGTAATACCTGACACATTGCTGGAGCTCTCCTCTCCTCATACTCTATCCTCCACAAATAATAAAGTCTCCTGTAAGATATTCAGAAGAGTGAATCACTCCACCTGCTACTAAGAGATAATCACTCTCAGAGTAGAACAACTGCTTCTATTGCTCTTTATGTAAAGAACAGAGCATCCTAGGATATTAAAGTGAAACCAATTCTGTTTGCGCTGAAATGCCAACAGTCTGCACAGCTAAATTGTAACTTGCCTAATATGCCAAAAGAAACCATCTTTTGTGAACATTTCTCCACATTTTTCAACAGCACAAACTAGGACTTTATTTTATTTTATTTTACTTTATTTTATTTTATTTTAGCTGAATCATCCTGCCACCTGTTGGCAGCTCAGTGGCAGCTCAGCTCGAGCCAGGAATCAAACTGGCGACCCTGTTGTTCAGAGCTCGCGCTCTTGAGCGAGCTCTTAGCCAACTGAGCCACTTGGCCAGTCCACTAGGACTTTATTTTATATAAAAATCAAAGGGTGTCAAAAGCACTACAATAGTTAATAGATGAAACTACCCAGTGA